CGACGGCCTACGAGGACGAGGTCTCCTTCATGGACGTGCACAGCCGCTACCACACCGTGCACGAGCTGTCGGCGCGCGAGTGCGCCTGCGTGTGACCCTACCTCAGCCGGCTCCGCCCCGACGGCCGCGGACTGCGCCTGCGCCCAGGCTGCGGGGCCCACCTCGGAACCTCGGGCGAGGACTGTGTGGCCATAAAGTGTGCGAACTCGAGCCTGTGTGGTGCCTCACGTCCCGGGCGGGGCCGGGCCGCGGGGGTGGCCCAGACCGCAGGGAGGGGAGGCGGGTGCCAAGGGGACCCCCGTGGGGGCGGCGGTAAAAGAAGGAAGTCGAGGCCGGGGTCTCACGCCTGTCACCCCCGCTGCTCGGGAAGCTGAGCTCCGAGGATCGCGGTTCGAAGCCAGCCCGGGCAGGAAAGTCCGTGAGACTCTGATCTCCCATGAACCGCCCGGGAGCCGGAAGTGGCGCCGTGGCTCCAGTGGCCGAGCGCTGGCCTTGAGCAGAGGGACAGCGCCCAGGCCCCGAGTTCAAGCCCCGGGACGGGCACACGCGCAGGAAGTGCCGGGTGGCACCCAGGCCCGCGGAGATCCTTGGCCCCTGGCGCCACCCCTCCCTGCCGTGTATGTTTTTTGGGGGGCCAGCAGGGGCTGGGGTCTTGGTGGGCCCAGGCCGCCCCCCTCCAGGGTGTGGACACCCCCCCCCGCCCCACTGTCCCTTCCCCAGCTAAAAATACCCCCACGCTGCCCACCCCCCGCGGGGACAGGCCGGGCCGCACCAGCCCCTTCGCGAGCCCACACTGGCGCCTGCTGGGGTAGGGAGGAGGTACAGCTGGGTCCCCGGGGACCCTGGGCCCATAAAACCCCAGGCCCAGTCTCGAAGTGGGGCTGTGGGGGGCGTGGATTTATGACGAGCCCCGGTGGAAGCCAGGCAGAGCTCTGCCCGCGTGTCACCTTGAGGCTTGGCAGGCCTGGCCGGCTGGGGGGAGGGCCCAGCGCTGGGCCTGGGGGGGGCGGGGGGAGGTGGACACAGCCAGTCCTCTGCACCCCACACTGGGGAGCTCCCTCGTGCTCCCCCCCACACACACCCCATCCCACCAGCTGGGGCTCCTAGGCAAGCGCAGGACTTCCAGGCCCCAGCCTGGGTGGTCTGCTTGGAAAGCCGGGCTGGCTGGGGTCCCCTCCCGCCCCCTCAGCCTCCTGGCTCTGAGGTTTGGGGAGGTGGCTCTCCAGCGCGGTGTGGGCTGACTGGGGGGGGCGCTATAGAAAGCCCCAGGGTGCTTTGTCAGAGCCTCAGTTTCCCCATCAGGCTGGCCTGAGAGGCCCCAGCTCTTAGAGATGGAACAGAGGATGATGGACCTGGGACCCCAGTGTGTGGCCCCCCCAAACTCCCCTGCTTCTTAGATGGTGGGGGGGGTGACAGAGGGACACCAGCCTTGTGGGCCCTTGGCCTCCCAGCTCCAACATCTCAACCGCAAGGCGCTGGTGCCACCCACCGGAGAGCTGGAAACATAAACAGAGCTGCTCCCGGAGGCCCTTGGGCTGGCTCTCATCCTGCCTGCCTGGTGTAAGCATCTGAGTGTGCACACACACACACACACAACACCCACACTGCCCAAGGACTCAGACACAATTATAGGCACCTCTGATCACATTGGGGTTTGTTGGGTTGGTTGGTTGATTTTTTTTTAATGTAGGGTTTGAACTCAGTACCTCACCTTTGCTAGGCAGGTGCTCTACTTAGTGAGTGCCAGGCTCCTAACCTAGTTGGTTTGAATTCTTTTTCATTGAGTGGCATTTTTCTTCAGGGACTAACTTGGACAATGATCCTACTGCTTATGGCTCCTGAATAGCCTGGACGATAGTTATCAGCTTGTTTGAAGAGCTGCGGCCTTCATAACTTTTTACCCAGGCTAGCCTAGAATTTCAGTCCTCCTGATCTCTGCCTCCCAGATGGGTAAGATTACTAGCATGAACCACCACAGTCAACATTTTTTTTTTTTGTCGGTCCTGGGGCTTGAACTCTGGGCCTGAGTGCTGTCCCTTGGCTCTTCAGCTCAAGGCGAGCGCTCTACCACTTGAACTACAGCGCCACTTCCAGTTTTCTGGTGGTTTTATTGGAGATAGGAGTCTCACGGTCTTACGTGCCCGGGCTGGCTTTGAACCTCGATCCTCAGATCTCAGACTCCTGAGTAGCTAGGATTACAGGCGTGAGCCTAGCCCATGATTGGGGGGGGCGCTATAGAAAGCCCCAGGGTGCTTTCTCAGAGCCTCAGTTTCCCCATCAGGCTGGCCTGAGAGGCCCCAGCTCTTAGAGATGGAACAGAGGATGATGGACCTGGGACCCCAGTGTGTGGCCCCCCCAAACTCCCCTGCTTCTTTGGTTGTTGGGGGGGTGACAGAGGGACACCAGCCTTGTGGGCCCTTGGCCTCCCAGCTCCAACATCTCAACCGCAAGGCGCTGGTGCCACCCACCGGAGAGCTGGAAACATAAACAGAGCTGCTCCCGGAGGCCCTTGGGCTGGCTCTCATCCTGCCTGCCTGGTGTAAGCATCTGAGTGTGCACACACACACACACAACACCCACACTGCCCAAGGACTCAGACACAATTATAGGCACCTCTGATCACATTGGGGTTTGTTGGGTTGGTTGGTTGTTTTTTTTTTAATGTAGGGTTTGAACTCAGTACCTCACCTTTGCTAGGCAGGTGCTCTACTTAGTGAGTGCCAGGCTCCTAACCTAGTTGGTTTGAATTCTTTTTCATTGAGTGGCATTTTTCTTCAGGGACTAACTTGGACAATGATCCTACTGCTTATGGCTCCTGAATAGCCTGGACGATAGTTATCAGCTTGTTTGAAGAGCTGCGGCCTTCATAACTTTTTACCCAGGCTAGCCTAGAACTTCAGTCCTCCTGATCTCTGCCTCCCAGATGGGTAAAATTACTAGCATGAACCACCAGAGTCAACATTTTTCTTTTTTGAGTGTTGGGGAGGCTAAGGGAGGAGGATCCTGTCCCAGGCCGGCCTGGAGACCCTGGCCTCCCAGTCCTGGGCTGCCCTCCATCATACACTACAGCCAGGCATACTGACTGAATCCTCCACCGATTGCAAAGACGCCCCCCCCTCGCCCCCCACCCGCTTCCTGCTCAGGGCCCTGTGCCTCTACCTGACCCCAAATACTTGGTGACCCTGCACCTTGTGCCCAGCAGGAAGGGCCCAGGGCCCAGCCCTGCCCCTCGATGATTGTCTCTCAGGTCGTGGCCTCCCCACCTTGCTGGGATTCAGCCCTAGGGACCCTCCAGCAGGACTTGACCTTGAGGCCATGGAGAGCTCAAGGGTGGATTTCCTACCTCTTGACATTCTGGGCTGGACCCAGTTGAGCTGTGACCCTTGCCCTGCCATTAGAGGACATTGGTCCCATACATGGTGACAAGAAAGTCCCTGGCTGAAGGTGAGTGTCCCCTGAGAATAAGGGGATAGGAAGCCTTCCTTGCAGCATCTCTCTCTGGAAAATAGAGTCCCCACAGTGGGGAGGAACACACAGGAAATACCCCCGGTGGGGCTCTGGAGCCGGGTGTTTTGGTGGGTAGTCACTGGCAGTTCAGGTCACAAGCAGTGAGGCCCAGGCAGGTGAGACCTAAGATAGAGGAGCCCCATAAAGCTAGCTCTTAATGGTGAAAGCCAGCAGACAGCCACAAAACATAACCCCCCAAGAGGAGCCCTAGGATGGTGAGAGACTCTGTCTGGCAAGGCCCCACTAGGTGAGACTCCAGGTGGACATCCAGCATATGAATGCACAAAACCCCTAAAGATTTGCTCCCTGAGCCAGGACATGGTGGCTCACACGTGTCATCCTAGCTATCCAGGAGGCTGAGATCTGAGGATGTCAGTTCACCGCCAGCCTGTGAGACTCTTAGTGCCAACGAACCACTAGAAAACCAGATGTGGTGCTGTGGGTCAAGCGGTAGAGTGCTCGCCTTGAGCTGAAGTGCTCGGGGGCAGTGCCCAGGCCTTGAGTTCAAAAGAAAGAAAAAAAGGAAGGAATGGAGGGAGGAAGGAAGGAATAGGTAGCTGAGCACTAGTGAGTCACACCTGTGATCCTAGCTGCTCAGAAGGCTGAGATCTGAGGATCATGATTCAAAGCCAGTCTGGACAGGGATACTCTTCTCTCCGATTGCCCACTAGAACACCGGAAGTGGTGCTGTAGCTCAAAGTGGTAGAACCCTCGCCTTGAGCAAAAGAGCTCAGGGACAGCGCCCAGGCCCTGAGTTGGAAGCCCCAGGACTGGCACCACCACTACAACAACAACAACTATTTTGCTCCCTGGCAGATGAGCTCCCTCCCCCCTCAATAGAGGGAGGCCCCCCCCCCAAAAAAAGTTATCCCGGACGAGTCAGGTGAACCAGGAGGCGATGCTGGGCACCGTCTGGTAGCGCCGGTCCTGCTGCAGGTACCTGCAGGCCTTGCAGAAGGCCAGGACCCGGTGGCTCAGGTGCGGCCGCAGGGCCTGGCGCCACCGGAAGTAGCTCAGGTAGCGGGCGGGGTCAGCGTCGAGCATGCGCAGATGCTGCGCCAGGGCCTCGGGGCTGCGGAAGTCATCCACGTGGATGAAGGCGTCGGGCGGCAGGAAGCGCTCGTAGTTGCTGCGGCTGGGCCCCATCACCACGGGCACGGCGGGGGCCTGCAGCGCGTTCTTCCACAGCTTCTCGGTGATGTAGTCCGGGTGCAGCGAGTTCTCGAAGGCCAGGTAGAACTTGTACTGCGCCAGGCGCTCCAGCATGCCTTCCCTGGGCAGCGGCAGGTGGCCCCGGCCGAACACGTCCACGGGCAGGTGCGCGCGCAGCCGCTGGAAGTAGCGCACGCGCGCCGAGCCGGGCTGCCAGTTGGACACGGCCCAGGCCGCCAGCTTGCTCTTGGCCGTGAGGTTGACCCGCGCCTCGGCCGGCGGGCCCCGCCAGGCCTCCAGCCAGCCGTAGGGCGTGAAGATGTCCGAGTCGCGGCGGTAGGACATGGTGAGGTTGAAGTAGCCGTCCAGCGCCTGCAGCCGCGCGCAGTGGCTGGGCGACTCCATGCTGAACCACACCCAGCGCTGGCCCGCCGGCCGCGGGCTCGGGGGCAGCAGCGCCGCGGGCGCCGCGCTCACCTCGCGGTGGTGCACGATCACGGCGTCCGCCCGCGGGTACACCGAGCGGTTGGCGGTGATGTGGCAGTCGGCCGTGCCGGGCAGCAGCTCCGAGCAGCGGGGCAGAGCCAAGGGGCTGTTGTAGGGCCATGTCCACAGCAAGATCAGCAGGGGCTGTTCGGCCGGGGCCCCCCTCGGGGACGCCTGCTGGGCTGAGCCTTTGGGGGCCAGGGGGACCAGGCCCTGGGGCACGGGCCTTGAGCCACTGGAGGGCAACCAAGGGACAGACTTTGGAAAGTAGGAGAAACAGTACAAAACCAAGAAGAGCAGCCCGGGAAGGCACCATCGCCAGGAACATTGTAGCTTGGCCCAAGGAGGCAGCTCCATGGGTCTCAGGAGCTGAGAGGAGAGGAAAGAGGCAAACACCAGTTAGCAACGCTCATCTTTCCTGCCCCGGAGAGCACTGTCACCATCCTGGACCTTACCGGTGAAACCTTGAGACCAAGGGGCACAGAAAGAGGCAGCCATCGCTGGGGCCTGGTGGCTCACACCTGTAATCTTCACTCAGAAGGCTGAGATCCGAGGATAAGCATGGTGATTTGAAGCCTGCCTGGGCTGAAAACTCCAGGAGACTCTTGATCTCCAATTAGCAACTCAGAAAAAGCCAAAAGTGGTGCTGTGGCTCAAGTGGCAGAGCACTAACCTTGAGCACAGAGAGGCTCAGGGACAGCGCCTAGGCCCAAGGAAGGGCTGGCACAAAAGAAAAGGAGAGCCTGGTGCTGGTGGCTCATGCCTGTAATCCTAGCTACTCAGGAGGCTGAGATCTGAGGATCGCAGTTCAAAGCCAGCCTGGGCAGGAAAGTCTGTGAGACTCTGATTTCCAATAAATGACCAGAAAACTGGAAGTGATGCTGTGGCTCAAGTGGTAGAGCACTTGCCTTGAGCTAAAGAGCTGGGACAGAGCCCAGGCCTAGAGTTCAAGACCCATGACCTACCAAAAAAAAAAAAAAGAGGAAGAGGAAGAAGGAGGAGGAGGAGGGGGAAGAGAGAATAAGAAAGAAAAGAAAGAAGCAGCAGCAGCCGTGCCGGGGTTGGAGCAAAAGGAAAGGAATCCAGTCCCCAGCCCACCTCTTCCTAACCATTGTCCACTCAGGCAGGAGGTTCCAGGGAAGATGGGATAGGACCCCCCACACCTCCCCAAG